CATAGTTACTACCTTCATAGCCATGTTTGTGTCACCAATGGGAGTTGGGGCATAAATTAGGGTACACACAATTGCACCTAATGGTTGGACCTTGGGAAAGGGGAACTTATTAGGGGAAGTTTATTCTAGATTGTTGCTCATCGGGAGATGGTAGTAATTAGGAATAATTGATTGCTGATCTTTGATCTTATTGGGTGTTTAAGCCATGGGAATGGAAATTCACTAGGAATAGAGATTACGGGAGTAATTCGATTCCACTTTGCATTCCCACACAAATTTTAATTCCAAACTAAATATTGCAAACGATAATTGGCACTAGGTGATTAAATACTTGAATCCCATGAATCTCAACTTCTCTCTAATTGTTTTCAAAATCCTGAACCTCTGTTTTATTTTATTTATTTTATGCCAATCAATCATCTAAGTAATTGTTAGGATTAGCTCTAATGAACTTGATTCAACCACTTCCCTGTGGATCGATAACCCGTACTCCGAGAATTATTTGTTTGCAAATATACTACGCACCAAATTGGCGCCGTTGCCGGGGAAGTGGCGTTTCTAGTATTAACATTAGTGAAATCTTTATTCTAGGAGACTAGTCCATTTTTATTTTTATTTTTATTTTATTTTATTTTATTTTGCTAACCCATAACAAGTTCATTGTTTTGAGTGTGATTTAGTTTATGGATAGATATGCATTCCAAGGAACCATGCCACCGTTTTACCCTCCTTCTCAAGGTTATGAGATGAGTTGGAATATGAATCGAGAATATGGAGGAATGGAACAACAATTCCCTTTCTCAAATTTTGCCAACTCTAGTCAAGGATATTATCAAGAAAGTTCATATCAAACATCACAACCCCAATGGTGCTCATTTTGTGGTGGGAATCACTTTGTGGAAAATTGTTACATGCTCAACCCCACTAACCATATCCCTCAACAATCTACTCAAGGATTTTGTGCCAACATGAGTCAAGCTACTTATCAAAGATGCACACCACCTACTCCACAACCCTCATGGTGCATGATATGTGGTGGACCTCATGAGGCGGAAAATTGCTTTATCATGGATCCCAATTACAAGTATCAAGGGCAAGCTCAAGAGTTGCCGTACCAAGAGTTTCAACAAGATTGTCAATCACTTGACCAAATAATTGAGATGAAGTCCAAAGAGACCAAGATAATGCAATTGTGCTCGAAATATCTGGAGTTACAAGATCACATGAATGCTCAACTTGATCGCATGAATGCTCGACTCGATCACATGATAGCTCGACAGCAAGATTTGACCATTCAAGAGCCACTTCAAGATTCATTTAATGGAGAGGTTCTAGAAGAGTTGCTCTTGCCAAATGAAGGTCATGAAGTTGAGAGAAATAAAAAGGATGATGAGGATCTTAGAGAGGAAGATGAAGAATTATTTGATAAATGCATTGAGATGGAGACACCAAGCTGGGAGGAAAATGTAGAGTTGCAAGGTAATGATGGCAAGGAACATATAGAGAGTTGCCCATTAGATGAGGAAGTTCTTAATGGAGCACATGATTTGAATGAGGATGTCTCACCAATGGAGAACACTTCCCTTGGAGAGAACTTCAGAGAAATTTTGAATTTGGGAGGCATTGGAGTTCTTAAGGATAATGGCACACATTTGCCTATCTATATATCCAATGATTCCCAATACTTGCTGGTTCATGTGAAAGATCCGAGACTCTCATTACTTGTTGAACAAAAGAGTGTTGAAAAAGAAGGAAAAGAGAATGGAGGCATAATTCTTGATTCGGGCAAATGTGGTTCCTTACATGATGACGTGAAGGGTTCGAGCTTAAGAGAGTTCATAAATGGACACCACTTGAAGAAATACTTGGAAGAGAAAGTTGATGGAAAGAAGGGGATTTTTCTTCTCCAATCACTTGATGGCTAGAGAGGTAACGTCGAGCTAACGACGTTAAATTTAGCGCTTCATGGGAGGCACCCCATGTTATCTTTTATTACTTTCCCTATTTATTTATTGCTTTCTAGTTTTGTCTTATTTAGTTTTATTATTTTCTAGTTCGTGATTATTTTATTGCTTCTTAGTTTTCTCTATTCTCTTGTTCTCCTTTTCTTTTAGTTTGCATCAGGGATGATGCAAAGTTTTAAGTGTGAGGGGGAGGAATCATTAATTTGGGGATATTTCTAAATTTTTAAAATTTTTGATTTTGCTTGGATGACTCATATGCTATTTTTGGTGAATAAGTTATTTGTCTTAGCATGCAGTTACAATTATTCTCTCTTGTTGGTTTGTGGTTTGTTTTAGTGGTGCTTGCTGCATCTCAATTTGTGATGGATGATTTGAGGTGTAACACATATTTGATCTATTCCCTTGCCAATAGCTTTGTTAACCACTTAATAATTGGATTAATTCTTGATCTTGTGTTTTGCATTGCTAGTGAAGGCTTATGTGAGATTCCGGTCATGGGTGTTTTGCTAGAACTTGCCTCATTACTCCCTAAGTGATGTCGAAGTTTTGCATGTTTTGAAGTGATTTAGGCCATTTTTGTTTAGCCATAGCCTTTAAACCTGTCCCTATATATATTTTATCCTTCGTATCCCCATTGTGCCTTTTGTTTGTTCAAATAAGTGCTAAGCACTTATCCCCTCTTTGTGATTGTTTTTCTTTGATTTACCCCATTATTATAATCCTTAGCCCGTGGCCAAATATTTCCCTTCCACCCTTGAGAGAATGAAACTTTTATCTTTATCTTTTTCGTAAGAAGAGTTTTATGGAGTTGTGCTACGAAAAAAAAAAAAAAGCAGCTAGTGTTACAAATGTTCAGGTGTGGAGGTCATGAAAGTTTGGATTAAAATTATCTTGCTATATCCAAAAGAAGTCCAAAGACAAAGAAAAGAATGAGAAAAAAAAAAAAAAGATTGAAAGTTTTTGAGTTTGGATCCCCACTTTACCAAAGAGTTGCTAAGTTCTTAAAAGAAATTTGCTCCTTGAAATTATGATCATCTCATCTCTTCCAAATTTTGAAAAGTTCAGATAAATTGCGACATTCTCTCTTTTTGATTAATTTTTCCATACCACTTCTTTGTTAGCCATCACCCATAGCCCCATTACAAGCTTAATAAAGTCCTATTTGATCTTAGCATGAATTCTTAGATTTGATCTAGAGGAGTATGAAGGGCAAGCCAATGGGATCTCATTCATGAACCGTGTCTTGCATAATCTCAACTGAGTATTTGTGCACACTTGATCCTCACATGCTTTAAATTCTTGGTGCTTGGTTATTGGCTTGGAAATGGGTCTCTTATGTGCCAAACTAATTTGATTCTTGAAGCTTGTAGTTTTGTAGCAAGTGGGTTGGTGGTTTGAAAGGTTGTACAAGAGAGAGCATGAGTAATTTGTATGTTTTGACTTATTATTTTATTCCTTAGTTTTGCTTGAGGACAAGCAAAAGCTTAAGTGTGAGGGGGTGATGTTATCACATCTGTGCTTGCTTTTATGGTTATTTTGAATCATCCAGTAACTAAGTTCTTTAATTTTGCTTATTTAATACATGTTTTCCTTGCTATTATCATTTAATTATGGTTCGCACTTGTTTTGAATATTTTACGGTGTTTGTTAGTGTTTTTGAACCATTTTAGGTCAAAGATATGACCAAGGGGAGTTCAAGAATGAGTTTGGAGCAATTTTGGATGAGTTCGCGGCCCAGTGGACTCGACGTGTCGAGCCCTTGGCTCGACACGTCAAAATTTTCCAGTAGCTAATTAATTCGCGCACAGGAAGTCTCGACGCGTCGAGAAAATTCTCGACGCGTCGAATATGCGTCTGTTTCTGGGATAAAAACAGACGCCTAAAGTGGCGCGGATAAAATAACAGACGCCTAAAGTGGCGCAGCTGGGCAAAATTCAATACAAGCGCGAGATTTCTTTTCCTAATATCAATTGCGCGGACTTCAAGGCTCATATCTCCATATTAAAAGTTAGCAATTCAAGGAATCTTCCAAATTCTAAATATCATTAAAGACGGCAATTTCTTTATTTAAATATAGGAATTAGAATTTGAGTCCAATTTGGTACAAGATTCCTATTTCATCTCAACTTTGTACCCACTATAAAATCCCCCCTTCCTCAACCCTAATACCGGACCGAAGACCGAGAGAATTCAGAGATTCTTGGAGACAAGAAGGAGAGAAATCAAGAGCCACAAGTTGTCTTGGGAAAGCAAGAAGAAGACTAGGGAGATTTGGGAAAATCGTCTGGTTAATTCTTGTACTCTTTTGATGATTTGCAATTCTTTATTTATATTTGCTATGTCTAATTTAGTCATGCTTGGCTAAATTCTTTAGAGATTCTTGGGTAAAAGTGTTTATGAACCTATGTGCCTGAGCTCTCAGTTTCTTTAATATATTATTATTTGGGTTTAATACTTGTGTTGCAATCGTGATAATATTGTTTGATGCTTGTAATTAATGGCCATAGTTACTACCTTCATAGCCATGTTTGTGTCACGAATGGGAGTTGAGGCATAAATTAGGGTACACACAATTGCACCTAATGGTTGGACCTTGGGAAAGGGGAACTTATTAGGGGAAGTTTATTCTAGATTGTTGCTCATCGGGAGATGGTAGTAATTAGGAATAATTGATTGCTGATCTTTGATCTTATTGGGTGTTTAAGCCATGGGAGTGGAAATTCACTAGGAATAGAGATTACGGGAGTAATTCGATTCCACTTTGCATTCCCACACAAATCTTAATTCCAAACTAAATATTGCAAACGATAATTGGCACTAGGTGATTAAATACTTGAATCCCATGAATCTCAACTTCTCTCTAATTGTTTTCAAAATCCTGAACCTCTGTTTTATTTTATTTATTTTATGCCAATCAATCATCTAAGTAATTGTTAGGATTAGCTCTAATGAATAAGTTAGTAACTAGTGCTTGATACAACCACTTCCCTGTGGATCGATAACCCGTACTCCGAGAATTATTTGTTTGCAAATATACTACGCATCACAATCCTCGTCAAAACCATTCCTAATGTTTCCGTCAAGGTTTGTCTCTAGCCACTGGTCCCACGACAAGTTACTCAACTTCGCGTAAGTACTTCTGGGGATGGCTACTTCCCATAGTCCCTTCACCGCCGAGCAATCTCGGAACAGGTGTTGTAGATCCTCGACTTGACCTGCACAAAGGAAACAAAAAGGATCAGCCGTTAATTTTCTTCTAGCTCGTTCCACATTAGTCATAACCTTTTTATGACGCAAAAGCCACAGAAACATGTTGATTCGTGCCGGAACGCGAATTTTCCAAATACGTCGCCACTTTTCATCAGATGGCCGGCCGTGATTATCCACCAGAGTCTTATACATTGAGCGAATGGTAAATTTCCCATTTATCTCTAAGCCCCATCTTGGCTCATCTTCCTTTTCCAAAGTCGTTAACACTTTCCCCGCTAGTCTTTCTTTACATCCTGTGGCAACGCTTGCTCTAAAATCTCCCACTTCCATCCCCGTACCTCATTCCAATAATCCCGGACCATACCATATAATTCTGGTAAAGGGAGGGTTGTTTTAAGGTGATCGAAAGAGGTTCTGGTAAGATCCACTTGTCCATCCAGAAGCGTGTAGTTGCACCACTTCGGACAACGCGTGAGACTCCTTGGGACATGGGTGTCCAAGCCGCAGATATTCCTCGCCAAGCATTGGAGACGTTCCGCCGGCCTTGTCTCATATTATGGATGATCTCTGACTTTCTGTATTTTGCGTTGATTGTCTGGGCCCATAGGCTTTCACTTTCCGCCAAAAGCCGCCAACCCAACTTTGCCATATATGCCAAATTCAATTCATGCATGCGCTTTAGACCAAGGCCACCTGCTTCGGTTGCTGTCGTAACAAGGTCCCAATTAGCCAAACTCATTTTGTTATCGGTACCGGTGCCTCCCCATATAAAATTTCGCGTGCGTTTCTCAATCTCCGTGCAGATCCCCTTTGGTAGAAAGGTCGTCTGCATAGTGTATGCCGGAATAGCATTCAGGACAGAGCGTGCAAGAACGACTCTTCCCGCAAGGGACAGAGTCTTCGCCTTCCATCCATCTAAACGGCTAGAGATTCGAGCCAGCAAGTCCGAATGCGTAGCACTGGTTACCCGGCCATGGATTGCTGGTACTCCGAGGTATTTGCCCAAGTCCTCCGTACTTTCAATCCGGAGCCGGCGCGAGATCTCCTCCTTCATATTCTTATTGGTATTTTTTGAGAAGAAGACCTGAGACTTGCTTAAACTGATCTTTTGTCCCGAAGCGGTGCAAAACTGACCGAAACAGTCCAGGATGACATCCACTTGCTCCAGCGTGGCCTCCGTGAAGAGCACCATGTCATCTGCAAAACAAAGATGTGTTAAGATGGGACTATTTTTTGCAAATTTGATACCTGACCAAGCCTTCGTCTCCGAAGTCGCAACAATTAGCTGACTTAGCCGTTCCATGCAGAGTACGAAGATAGCGGGAGACATAGCCTCCCCCTATCTAATCCCTCTTTCCGGACTGAAAGTATCTAGTCGTTCCCCGTTCCAGATTAGCGAAAGCCTGGGGGTTTGGATACAATTCATAATCAGCTCTTTTAGAACACCTGTGAAACCTGCACATTCTAGAGTATCCCGGATAAAATCCCACGAAAGTCGATCATAGGCCTTTTCAAGGTCCAATTTTATTGCCATGAAACCAGTTTCACCTTTCTTCTCTCTCATGGTGTGCATAGCCTCCTGAAAATTGAGAATATTGTCTGTAATCTATCGGTCAGGTACGAAAGAACTCTGGAAAGGTCCCACTATTTTAGGTAGGATCCGCTTTAACCTGTTCGTGATTGTCTTTGTAATGATTTTATAAGCAACATTACATAAGCTGATAGGCCTGAACTGCTTGATCGTCTCCAGATTCTGTACCTTAGGAATCAAAGCAACGAGGGTATCATTAAGGCCAGCCTGCAGGCTACCCATTGTGAAAGCCTGCTGGGCTAAACGGAACACGTCATCCCCTATCTTGTCCCACATGTGTTGGTAGAAACCTGCTTGAAAACCATCTGGGCCCGGTGCCTTGAACGGTTTCATGTCTTTGAGGGCAGCATGGACTTCTTCTTTCGAGACCACTCTATTGAAAACAGCCCAGTCTATTGGCCTTAGGCGGGGGAAATTAGCAAAAAAAAATTACTTCCGAGGCCCCATGTGCGTCGTTGGTGAAGAGATTCATGTAAAAATTTCTAACATGGCTTTTCAACTCTGTGTCTTGAGTAATCCAGACCCCATTGTTGTCAAGAAGTGCCTGAACAGGAGCCCAGGCTTTACGGATTGCCGTTGCAGCATGATAGTAAGCCGTGTTTCTATCGCCCGAGCATATCCACTCCTCCCTAGATTTCTGAAACCATATAAGTTCTTGCTAGAGAGCGATTTCCAATTCCTCTCTGAGTTTGAGGTCAAGTTTGAAAAGGCCTTTGTGAAATTTCGTTGCTAAGCATTTCTGAATACCGTTAATACGGGACGCAAGAATTTTCTTGCGTTTAAAAACATTACCAAAAATCTCTTTATTCCAGGATGAGAGCGTAGCAACCAAAGTCTCCGTGTTTTCTGTCATTGTCTTTCCTGGGTCCCAGGTGTTCGACACCACATTATGAATGTCTGTATGTGTCAGCCAAGCTGCCTGGAAGACGAAAGGAGCCTCTTTCCGCCGGCTATTTTTCCCAGCGAGTCGAACGAGGAGGGGTGCATGATCGGAGGAAAAGCGGTTGAGATGGGTCACTGATGCCTCAGGAAAACGCACTCTCCATTCTGTGCTGCACAAAGCCCGATCCAAACGCGCGCCTTTTAGGATATCACTGTTTCCATCTTTCACCCAGGTCAACTTTGGCCCCGAGAACCCCATATCAACCAGGCCCTCTTCAAGGATCCAGTTTTCAAAGTCCGAGCTCCTGCAAGAAGAAAAAGAAGAATAGTTACTCGTTTCACTCTTAGATAAAACTGAATTGAAGTCCCCGACTGCAATCCAGGGCCCGACAATCCCACGGATTGAACTTCTTAGGTCCTGCCACAGGCACTGTCATAAATGATGTGTGGGGCTGCCATATACCGCCGCAAGCCACCACGATGGCTGGTTGTTCTCCTCCACCTGTACCAAAATAAATTGGGGATGAGTGTACGTGACTGTGACCCGCAGCGGGTTCTCCCAGAAAAGCCAAATACCGCCACTGAAACCAACTGCCTCCACTCTAATCCATTCCGAGTACCCAAGCTTCTTGCAAATAGAGTTTGCATGGTCACCGGAGACCTTAGGTTCAAAAAGACCAAGAATCTTTGGCTTATGTGATTTTATAAGAAACTTGAGGGCGCGCAGGAACGGCTTACCACCTGCACCCTGACAGTTCCAGAACATGCAGTTCATGGATAAACAAAGAGGGAAAAATTAAGAGAGCAGAGAGCTCAAAAGGTTCACAAACAAAAAAGACAAAGAGGAAGACAAAAAAACGCGGGAGAGCCTATTAGGCTTCCCCGTTACCTCCCCCCATATGATGTTCCTCAATGTTCATCACCGCATCGCACTCGTCATCGAAGGCCTCCGGTGGATCTCCAAAGTGTTCCCCAGTACCCGCGAAGAGTGTATCACTAGCCCTCCTTGCTCGCCCCGGACAACCACGTGCTCCGTCTGTTCTGCTGCGCATCGTGGTCCCTCCTCGGCCATCCTCCTTGTTCCGGCCCCACTAGGTGTCACATTTGGTCTAGGCTCACGTACTAGCACGGGGTCATTCACAATTTGTTTTTCACGCACTATAACATTTGGCCTGCGATTAATAGCATCCCCCTGTGCATGCGTGTTTGTCGATCGTGGCGTGACTGCCCGTACCGCATCATCCCCACGCATCTCGCGATCCTCAGCCACCCTTTCAATGTTCTCCGTAACCTCTTCACCGAACGCCACCTCTTCCTCCTCCATAGTCAGAGGCGCAAACCGGGATGCGGTCGACATCCTTCCCCGCCCGCCTACATTTCCGCCACCTCGGCTACTGCCTCCTCACGAGATTCTGGACGGGCCTGCTGCCGATGATCTGCCTCGGCGCTGAGGTGCGATCATCCAGGATCCAGAAGGGATCTTTGGATCATCAGCCTCCTTCAAGCCTGCCTGACTCCCAGTCGGAATATCCTGCTCTGGAGCGCCAGTTTCCACATCTACCTCTTTCCCTTTGTCCGAATCAGCGTTTTTCAAAGAGGGGCAACTGTCTTTTGCATGGCCGTAGCGTCCACAGGAGAAACATATCAAGTGGAGCCCTTCGCAGGCCACATGTCTCACTTTGCCTTCATAATTAAACTTTGAAACAATAGGTTTACGCATATCAATCTCTACACATATTCTTGCAAACATACCTCTAGAGCCCATGCTGGTAGCCTGATCCACACGTACTGCACTTCCGATCCTTCTCCCCAGTTTTCGGAGGAAGATGTGGTCATAGTACTCCATGGGGATACAAGGGATTCTTGCCCAGACTATCATCTTCTCCGTCTTGTCATTCATTGGGTCGAAATCGGGCTCCCAAGGTTTCACGATGAGGTAATGATCTAGGATCATCCAAGGCCCTTCAAACAAAGCAAATTCTAAGTCATCAATGGATCCGAATCTTACCAGGAAATATTCGTTCGGTAGTGCGATCAAATCCATGCTGCTTTTTGGTTTCCACATTGATGTAAGCCTCCGGAGCATGTACGCATACCCCACGCGTCTCCCCATCACCTTGATTATCAACGATTTTCTCAACGGCGCTCGGATCTTCTCTACTTCCTCCTTTGTCAGGCAAATGGTTGGACAAAGGGGATCATCATCCTCCTCTGCTTCTAGCGTCGCATGATTTGGACCGTCATCAACAACGTTATCCAATCTGGTTGGATCTCCTGCGCCCACTCCTGTCAAACTCTCCACGTACGATCTTCTCTGGCCATCCGGTAGACGTTGTGTGTTCTGCTGAGATGGCGGTCGTAGCCCCATGCATGGCTCCATTGGCGGGATCACGGCAGTGTCAGCCCTCAGTCCTTCCTCCGGCGTCTCTTGCACCATCACAATCTCCTGGCTCATCAAAGGTGGGTAATCAACGTTCGCCATCTCCCGTTTGGATTTCTTGGTGCTACGCCCCAAGAGATCCAAATCTTCGGATGAGCGAGGTGACGAGAACGTTTCTTGAGATTCCATCTACAAGATTTTAAATTTTGAACATATACTACCTATGAATTGAGTTGATACTAATCAAACAGAGCAAATTTACGTAAAATTACATATTTTAAAAATTAAAATTTCTGCATATAATATTCAATAATTTACACTAATGGATATATTAGATTTGGGCTCATAGTGAACCGATCCGATGGAGCAGAATAAGGCGGGTCCTATGGAACCCAGGACCTCGAGGTTGAGCCCCGTGCTCAGCCTCGGTGTATTATAAGTGTTATAAGTTATACTCTGTATATATATAATTCCGAGTAGTTCGCCAAACTCAAGAGGTTTAAGAACTGAGTGGTGAATAAGCTCGAGAATTAGAAGAATGCTCGCCTTCTGTGGCACCCACTCGTGAGGTTGCGGGACCAAGTGGTGAAGCAGAGCAGATAACCACTCATGCAAGGAACCACTCGCTACGCTTCCTAAAGTTTTTGATGAAGGAGTGATCGCTGGGTCAAATTCAGGCTCAACCTGTGGTGGAAACCGGGAAGCGCCAATTGGTGTGAGCTTAGAGAATCTCTTCTTAGTGAATGTAGGTCAAGATGAGATGCCTCAACAATAACCTAAGCCAATGGAGGACATTTCCAACATGATGCAGTTTCTAAAATCCATGGTTGAAGAACAGAAAGTCATATTTAAGAAGGTGAAGAGGGCAGTCAAGAAGACACATAAAGTGACTACTAAGACAAAATCTGTAGTGCACAAGGAAGCTCGTGACACTAGGAGATTTGTTCTCTCCACGAATCACCAAGACGAATCAGCAAACGATGCTGATCAAGAATTCAAGGATTCGGATGTGGAGTCACTTACCTACACTGAGATGGTATGGCTAAAATGCAAAAGGCACTTGACACTGTTCTTAGTGGTCTTCAATACATATTTCAAGAGCAAGAACAAGTTCAAGTCAACCTACGAGCCATCAAGGATGACATCGAGGAGCTCAAGGAAGATATGAAGATTATTTATAAGAGCCTTGGTGATCTCCACACAAAATTGGGAGACTTCACCCCTGGTGATGAATTGCATGATGCTAAAAAAGGGGGAAGAGACTCTAGCACCTGCTCCCAAGAGACCATCAATACTTGGTGATATTAACCCAAGTAGTTCCAGTAAAGGTGGCAGAAGTTGAGCAAGGAAAACTACCATCACACCAGCCGGTGATGTAGTTCCTTATGTACCCAACAGAGAAGGTAGCGGTAATAGATTCAGATGTGAAAATTTGCCCACCTTTGCTAGGAGCTGGAGCAAGCAGCGCAAGATTGACTACATCTCCTCTCGCAATCTAGCCATTGATCGTTAAAGAAGACTTGATGAAGAGCATGAACGCGAGATGAAGAGGAGAAGGGTTGAAGCCGTTGAAGCTAAGAAGAAAATAAAGGAAAGATTTGACTCATTTCGAGGAGTCACCAAAAGCTCATCTGACTCAGAACTCACTAGCGCCTTTTTGAGCTAATGAGGGGTTGTTCCATATCCTTTGTGGATGGAATGAACACGAGTGAGCAAATCAGATGGTGGCGCTGCAGAGTAGTAAATGGAGACAATATAATGGAGGCCTTCCATAACTACCACAGTTTTCAAAATAAAGGTGAAGTGTGACCACCTTGTGGTAGAAGGTAACATTCAAAACTCCCACAGAAAAATAAATGAGATTTTAGACATTGTAGCAGCCAAAGCCAAGAAAGATCAGCAGGAACAAGGCTATATATGGTTTCACAATGAGTAAATTGTAATGTTTATTTACTTATGCTTTCATGCAAAATTTTGATGTAATTGTAATAATTTTTTGTGATTAATGAAATATTTTGTGTGGGTTGCGTAGTGTTTTAACACCTTTAGTACTAAGAAATTCCTAGAATGATTATTGTTAAACTCAATTATGGGCTGAGTTGTAATGAAAATCAGTTCATGGATAAAAACAGCCTCATAATTTGAGTATAGGTTTTGGCATCATAAAAAAGGAAGAAATTGTTATGAACATTTTGTATTTAGATTTTGATGATACCAAATGATTAGGAATTTTAGACCACAAACCCATTTCATTTTTCTAGACTTAGTGTTATTCTACTCAATCTTCACCTAGTCTGAATAGTAACACGAGAAGTCAAAATTCGAATAAACAATCAATAAGAATGATAATTCGAAAGGTTACATTTCAGTTAGTAATAACCAATACTCGAATAGTTACTTGAATGGTTATTTTCTGAAGAGTTAGAGAAGAAGACTTCGAAGAGTTGAAGATTTGAAGACTGAAGACTTAAAGATTCGAAGAGTAGAAGACTACAAGACCGAAAGGTTGCAAAGGCCGAATGGTTGAAGGGCCTACCTTTCGAAGTATAAGAAGAGCAAATGGTAAGGACACCCATTCATAACTGAAAGGTTGCAATGGTCAATATACGGAAGGACCTACCTTTCGAGGAGTAAGAAGGGTCGAATGGTAAAGTCAACCGTTTGTATCCGAGAGGTTTAGGGTTTGAAACATTAACCTAGTTAACCCTTCGAAACGAACTGCTCGACGCATTCTTTGAGCCAACATTTCGGTACCTTAAAACTGAGCGAATGTGTCCGAGGAGTAAAGAGTCCTAGGAACACATCTCAATGAAGATTTCTCCTTAAAAAGCCATTGACTTTTTGCATAACAAAAAGATATGTTAAGTTCAGCGCAAATTAAGTCTCCAACTGCTGTAAAATCTGACACGCTCACCTACCCTTTGGATTACTTACCGGTCTCTACCCACTGGTTAATATCTGTTTGAAATTGGTTTCCCTCCAACAGACACTTTTTTAACATGCCTATAAATACCCTCTTCTGAAATTGAAGAAGGTGTCGGTCTACTGAAAATTACTAAGTGTTAACAAAAAAACGCAAGCGAATCACATCTAGTGACTAGTGAACAAGAGAAAGACAAAAAACTTCAAAGCTCACATCTAGATTTTAAGAGACTTGTGCTGCATATTCATGAAGATCTAGTCATTTAAAGCCAAGTTCTCAGTTGGAGAAGGAAGAATATTTTCTTCAAAAATTGTAAACTCTACTCGGTAGAAGTAGAAAGAGGCGGAGTAGACTGTGTTATTTGGAAAACTTGGTGGAGTTCAAGGCTTGGACGTCCATGATTGTACTAAGGGGATAGTGCAAACCCTCCTTAGAAGTTCCAAGCAGAAGAGTGGAGTATGCTGTGTTAGCCACCACTATAAATTGCTCTCTCAGGGCCGGCCCAGAGGGGCGGACAGGATGGGCACCCGCCCTGGTCCCAACGCTGGGAGGGGCCCCTAACTTCGGTTTTTTTTTTTTTTTAAATAAAAATTTGATGAATTTAAAACAAATGTTTGCATATACAAATATTTAAATCCATGACTTCAAAATTATTTTTTTTTTTGAAAGAATAAGATTAATTCATTGAATCACGAGCAAGAATGTTTACAAGAAAAGATGGGGGAGTATCAAACCACTCCCCGCAACCTGACTCAGAAAAGGCCTCCCTAGCAACAGAATGGGCGGCACAGTTCGCAGATCGCCTAGCATAACAGAATTTAACATCATCAATATCCAATGCTAAATTCCTAACATCATCAACTAAGAACCCGAAAGCAGAATTAAAAGAAGGTGAGCGAATTGCATTATAAACAACTTCGCAATCCGTTTCAACATCCACAGCACCCATACCTGTATTCTTCAACCAGCTCAGAGTCTCCCGGATACTCAAAATTTCAGCTTCTTTGACCATATATACCCCGGGCACTAACATGTTCTTCGCAGCGAGAAAATTCCCAAAGTCATCCCGCAAAACCCAACCAAAGCTCATCAATCTACTACCCTCCATCAGGGAGGCATCCGCATTTAACTTCAAAATTATTTATTAATTATATATTTATCTAAATTAATAGATATATATTAGTGAATGTTGAATTAATTTATGATTATACTTCATATAGGGTCTCAAAGTTTGAATGGGCACTCCGCACTAGTGCAATGCTATTATACAATGTTTTTTAAATAAAACAAAAAATTATATATTTACAAAAATTCAAAACTATCATTTTGTTGTTTTCAATGAACCCATACAATCTTTTATAAGAGTTTTTATACCATAAACCAGGGTCCACCTTGGATCCTAGTCCTAAACGACGTATAAATTATGCATTTTTAGTATTAGAATTGTAAACTTTTATAATATAAATTGTGTTTCTAAGTCAAAACACATAACAACTGTAGAAGGACATTTGTGAATAAAATACAGGGTTATCAAATCCTAATATGTTAATATTGTGTGACTGCAGTATTTGAAAAAAATTTGTTAATACAAAATAAGATAATCAATTACATATACATTAAAATTGTGTATCCGTACTTCGTAGTATACAAATTGTGAATATTTGGACTCTGGTCCACCTTGCAAGATAGATCCGAGTCTACAAAATAATTTACGATCTTTTAACTTCATATATTAAGGGCCCTTATTTTTGTTTCGCCCCGGGCCTATAAAATAATAGGACCGGCCTTGCGCTCTCTCTCTCTCTTTTACTTATCGTTTTCATTCGCATCACTGATAACTCTGGAACCTAACATTTTCAAGAATAGATACGTGTAAGAAATTAAAAAGGGTTAAAATATTATTTCCATTGTGCATTCTCAATAAGTCGTTAAAGTTACCTCTTGGGTACTTTGACGAAACGTTAAAACTTTTCAATATCCTACTAGTCTATTCACCGCCCACCCTCCTCTAGACTTCTGCAAATACCTACCAGGACCAACAAAGATTTATAACTTCAAAATACATCCAATTGAGTTCTAATTTACATTATTTTACAATCAATTTCTTCAAATCACCTTAATGATACAAAGAAATCAAATGAATATATACTTAGCTTCCAATTAACACAAAATTAAATCATATGAATTTGATGTTAAATCTGTACATAAAATTAGTAAGGATTTACACTAATGAGAAATCCACCATGGTCCCTGCTGTCATATTGATCCATCCATTTCAATGAAAATAATCAGTAGTTTATATATCACTAATTAAATCACAGTACAATCTACATAAATAATCAATAATCAAATAAATAGTAACTACCCGATAATTTTATTAAGTTAAAATTAAAGTACACAAAACATAGTAACAGCCAAATACCAAGACACTCATAGCTATGTACATATTCCATACCATTAATATCCACTATCTGATACAATACACCACATACATAAACATAAACATAAAATTTGAAAAATAAAAACACAAACTATAAACTAATCAAACACTTATCCAAATCTTATACACTTCACTTGTCGACTTTGATGATTGGATCAGACTAAGCAATTGCAATCCAACCTGCACTCTTGTTAAAAAAAAAAAAAAAATCTATTTATTAGAGCGCCTAACACTGTAAATATAATGATTTATATATCCATAAGTTTAAAAAATATATTTAACCTAAAAAATAATATCAGTCCCGATTCTTTTTTAATTTGTATAGCATGTACTTGGTGATTAAGAATGCATTGGATGTCAAACATCATCATTATGCCAACTACATGTGGTTCAAGATATTGAAACATAATAACTTTTTAAAATTTTGTATTTGATCTTTGTAAATAAGAACATAAACATAGACATTAGAAGAGATAAATATAAATAATTAAATAATTAAATGATTATATATATATATATATATATATATGTGTGTGTGTGTGTGTGTGTGTGTGTGTGTGTGTGTGTGTACCTTCAGAGTAGTAAAGCCTTAGGAAAATTGAGGTTGTATCCAATAAAAGGAGGGTAACATTTGTGCGAGACCATCTCACGGATCCTTATCCATGAGACGGGCCGGGTCGAGTCAATATGAATATTTAATACTTATACTGACATGTAAAATGTAATACTAATTAAAAATAATGTGTTTTTGATACTTATAAGGAAAAATGTAATATTTTTTTATATGAAAAATGTAATACATTTACATTTTGAAGGTTACGAGTTCGAGCCTCAGTGGAGGCGTTATTGGTTCTTTGTGTTTCAGTAGGTTGAGAAAGTATATGAACAGATACTACAATGTAATAGGGCCAATAACATTCAAAAAAAAATATATTACATTTTTCCTTATAAGTAATTACTTGAGCCATGCTGAAATTATTGCATAAAATCTTACTTGAGCCATGCTGAAGACATAATTTGAAGCGTTTGCATCTTTAACTTCTTGCTAACCATGTGGTTTAAAATGTGGTTGTAAGTGCATCTTCAGATTTTCATCATCCCATTGCAGTTTATTCCACCAATTTTGTTCTCCGCTTATTGACTGAATATTGTCTGCACTTTGGACACTAAGAGGCAACTTCAGCAACATACTGCATTCCCTCACTCTAAGCTCCTTTAGACTTTTCCATGATTCATCTGTTTTGCATATTTCTTCTAGTGCTGGAAGTCCGTACAATTCTAAGGATTCCAACATTGGCACAAAGTTGTTTGTGGATGTGTTTTTGAACACTTGTGACAAGTTCCTACACTTGTGTATCATGATTGAATCCAGATTTGCAAGTTCGTGAAGAGTTCCATCCATTGTGAATAGATTTTCCAATTGATAACACTCCTGAACGAGTATGGATCTAAGCTTGGTGAAACGCAGTCCAAGAAAATTGCTGCAATCTGAAATGCTTTCTAATTCGGTCAACCCAAAAAAGTGAAGTTCCTCTAAGTTAGGAAGCAAGTCACATTCCGTAACACAGAGATGCAACAGCTACCTATTATTAAGCGCTTCAAGTTAAGAAATGGACCAAGGGTAATGCTGCTCCTAACCATGTTGTCAAGCATGAGATCAACTCCCTTACAGTCCCTAATTTCGCAGCAAAATGCATGTACAAACAGCCATCCAATTGATTCATCTCCTGAGAAAAGAAAGCCAGAGAATAACACACGCTTCGTACTGGGTAGATATGGTCCATATGATCTCTTATGATCATGAGTCACATTAACATAGAAGCTGTTAATTCTCCTGAGCCAAGAAACATGTTCAGCAGTGGCATGAGAAATGTCATCCAACTCAATGTGAAAGGAAAGTAATTGATCTAAACATACCAACTTCTCAAATGGTACATCTTCATCATTTACTTTCCTCATTCTCCATTTGATAGCACTGCCCGTCATGCATAGAAACTTTCTCACTAGAAATTGTCCGCAACTTATAAGTGTAAGATAAGTCAAACTGCCGTAGGTTCGTTAGCTTTTCAAAGTCTTCTGGCAATTTAGTGATAGCAGAGCGAGAGCAATTAAGCACTTGCAACATTCCAAGTGTGGCCATGGATGGTAACTCAAACAGTTCACAACAATTTTCTAAAAGGAGAGCTCGAAGTTCACCAAGTTGAAGAAGTGAGTGTGGCAGGAATTTGATTTTGGTGTCACTCAAGTCCAAAATTCTTAACATTTGGAATCCTTGTAAAAATGTGTTTGGTACTTCCAAAAGTGTTTGGTTACCTTGCAAAAATAAAGTGGATGCTTCTGCGCATTGTATGTTGCAGTTTGGGAGAAATTCTATATTGCTCGCCATAAACGACACTCTCTTCACTCCCCCAGAAAAATTGAATAGCTGTTGTGATATTTGCGTCCCGCTAATTCCAGCTTTGATAATAGCTTTACACCCTTCCTCTAAGGATTTTGCTATCCATACCCCAACATCACGAACTACATCATGCATCTTTACATGATTTACACGATGACCTCTTTCCAACAAACAAGAGTCTTTTAAGTAGTCAACAATATGTAGAACTTCATTCTGTTGTTGCTCAAAGTCTTGCTGCTCATCAATTAAACCTTCAGCTACCCAATATTGGACTAGTTTAAAAATATCAATTTCAAAGTCCTCTGGGAACAAGCAGAAAAACAAAAAGCAAGATTTGAATTGCTCACCTTGTAAGGAATCATAGCTCCACTTGAGGGGTTTGTAGACCTTTTCTTCAACACCTCTAATGCGAGACGGATCTGATTTTTGCAAGGCATGTAAAGCGCGCACCCACAAGCCAATCTCTCTCTTTGTCCTCAATGATGCCCCTACCATAATTAGTGCAAGGGGTAATCCATCGCATTCTTTAACAATGGCCTTCGCCATGGGCTTAATTTGGTTATCATCCACCACTTCCTCTTCCACAGTTTCACGAAACAACTTCCATGCTTCTTCAGGAAGCAAGCGACCAACTGGAAAGTCATAGTCAGTCAACATTTGTTGACAAACACTAAACTCTCGGGTGGTTAGTATGATTTTGCTGCTAGTTTGTTCATTTGGTCGAGGAATCCCCACAACATCGAGATCGATTTCTTTCCATATATCATCCAGAATTAGAAGAAATCTTTCGCCTTTAAGTTTGTTGTACAAACAACTGGCCATACTTTCCATGCTCACTTCTCTATTCATCAGATGCAACCGCTCAGCAACTTTTGATTGGACGCTTTCCACTGTTGCGTTTCGAGATACTACAACCCATATTACGATGTTGAAAGTTGGATCTTTGGTGAGCTGATTATTCAAATTCTTGACAAGAGTAGTCTTGCCCACACCTCCCATGCCCCAAACACCAATCCTCTTATACTTTTTACTTTTCAACAGATCCATCATCTTGGCCAAATTTCTTGATGCAGTGGGTTGATCTTCGATTGATGTCACCTCAATATACTGAACTGGCCTTGCCACAGGAATAACACCCACTATCATGTTCTCAAAGGGTTTGCCTTCTTCAATGAGTTGTGTTGCTTTCACAATCTGTTTCGCTATGTTGTTGCTCAATTTGCAGTGCAGTGAACGTGAGCAGCAAGAGGCGGAATCACTTGTAATGCCACTTTCTGCCACAGTTGAACGCAAAAAATTGAAATTTGTTAGATATATTAAATATAATATATTTAATATAATGTATATTAAATATAATATAATATATCTATAATATATATTAAATATAATATAACAATATATTATATTTATATATTGAGAGAGAAGAGAGAGGAAGGAGAATTGAATTCACTTTGAATTGATGATTAAAATGGTAGAATACATAACCTATTTATAGTAATAGCTAATGAAATGAATTTCTAAAATTATGGTCATGTAACACCCCATGACTCCATGTACTACCTCACACTATGCCCATGTAATACCATGCTGCCATCACACACCTAAACTAATGCTAATCATGGCCACATATTACTTTAATTTCTAACAACTAATTACTAGCCACTTGGTTTAACAATTATAATAATAATATTATTATAACATTGCCTCCTTTAAACCAAGTTGAACATATTGGTCATCCCAATATCCTTCTTCAATTTGAGAAATGTCTCTGTCTTCAAGTTGGATATACTGACTTGTATTTCGTTCTGTAAATCCACTTGAGTCCAATTGACTTCTTTTCAAGAGGTAATTCTGTTAATTCACAGGTACCATTCTTTTCAGTGGCACCAACCTCCTCATCCATCGCCTTAAGCCAATGAGTTTCTGTAGCAGCCTCCTCAAAGGATAAAGGATCACAATCTGCAAAAAGAGCAAATTGAACAATATCTTCATCCGACAAATCATTATCTTGACCCAAAACATAATCCTGCAAGCGAGCTGGTAAGTGGCGCTCGCGCTGAGATCGTCGAACTGACGACTCTGGCTGTGAAGGAGACTGGACATTATCTGGAATCGGTTGCTCTTCAACAATATTTTCAACAGCAGGAATAACAACTGAACTTTCATCTTTAGCTAACCAATCCCAGGCACCATATTCATCAAAAGTGACATCACGACTTATAACAACCTTTTTAGTTTCAGGATTGTATAGTTTATAAGCCTTTGAAGCGTCACTATAACCAATGAATATGCACTTCTCACCTTTATCATCCAACTTCTTTCTCAATGGATTCGGCACGTGGGCATATGCCAAACATCCAAAAACCTTGAGATATTTGATAGAGGGTTTTCTCCCACTCCAAGCTTCTTCGGGCGTCTTATCACGAACACTCTTAGTTGGACACCTATTCAACACATAGACAGCACAAGCAACAGCTTCTGCCCAAAAAGGCTTAGGCAGATCCTTAGATTTCAACATGCACCTCACCATATCCATGATTGACCTATTCTTCCTCTCAGCCACTCCGTTTTGTTGTGGAGTGTATCTAGCTGTCATTTGGTGCTGAATACCCTTTTCTTTCAGAAAATTATCACAAGCAATATATTCTGTACCTCTATCAGTTCTCAAGATTTTAACTTCATAACCACTTTGCTTTTCAACAAAAGCCTTAAATTGTTTGAAAACATCACATGCTTCAGACTTTTGCTTCAGAAAGTAAACCCATGTTTTCCTACTGAAATCATCAATGAAAGTAATAAAGTACTTACAACCTCCATATGAGGGAACCTCCAACGAACACAGGTCTGAGTGAATAATCTCCAACTGTTTTGTGGCTCTCCTTGACTTGCCCACGGGAAAGGGATCTCTATGCTTCTTCCCAATCACACAAATCTCACAGATACGATTAGGGACATTCACAACAGGTAAATCAGAAACAAGTTCCTTTCTCGCAAGATAGTTTAACCCAGAAAAATGAAAATGCCCAAACCGCATATGCCATAACCAATTATCATCACAAACTTCAGAATTAAAGCAAGCAAGGAGAGTATGCTTAATTTTCAAAGGAAATAGTCGATTTTGGGACATATTTACCTTTGCAATCAAAACTCCTTTAGCATCTGCAATGGTACAACACCCCTGAGCAATATGTATCTTATATCCTTTTTCTGACAACTGACCCATACTCAACAAATTTTGGTGTAGTTCAGGAACATAGAACACATCGGATATAAAATTGTGAGTACCATCCTTCAACTGAATAGAGATTTTACCTTTTCCCAAAATTGGCACCTTTGACTTATTGCCAAACGTTACTTCAGACCGGACTGATTCATCTAGTTCGGAAAACAATTCTTTCTTCCCACACATATGGTTACTACACCCAGTATCCAAGAACCATATGTTCTTATCTGCAGAAAAACTATCGCTGGCCAAAAGTAAAGTTTCAGAACTCTCACCAGACTTTTCAGCAGTATTTTCAGCAATGTTTGCTTGATTTCCACGATTGTTGTCCTCATTATACCAACAATCTGCAATCTTGTGCCCATACTTGCCACAATTGTAGCAATGAAATGGAAATTTACCTTGTTTGGTATTACCTCCACCTCTTCCTTGGTTGGAGTTACCACGTCCTCCTCCTTGGTTGAAGTTACCACGACCTCTTCCACTAGAACCTCCTCTTCCTCTTCCACGACCTCTACCAGATCCTCCACCTCTTTGATTAATGTCAGTCACATTAAGGGTGACTTGACTCTTCAAAGCTTCTTCTGCTAGTGGTTCCGATTTTGACGCAATCCTGTCAATATGACTTTCTACCATACCTTTCAGCTCTGCAATTGATAAGAGCTCGGTGTTGTGTGACTCTGTTATTGAAGCCACCACATGGTCATACTTCATCGGCATAGTTCGAAGAACTTTTTCAACCACTGCACCATCTTCAATTGTATCTCCGTATAACCTCATCTTATTCACCATATCAATAAGACGAGTGAAATACGCGTCTACTGTTTCTGTAGAGGTCATCTCACAATTATCGTACAACCTTCTCAACGACTGCAACTTAGACTTCTGCGCCCGATCAACTCCTTTGTGTGACACCTTTAAGATGTCCCAAGCTTGTTTTGCTGTTTGAGCACGAGCTAATTGCCCAAAAATGGAATAATGAACACCTTGGTGAATCTGACCCAAGGCCAATTTATCTCGCCGTATAGCGCCTGCATCAGCTCCTTCGGGTAGACCGGGATCAACAAAGCTCCAAAGATTTTGAGCTTGCAAATGTGTGGACATCATAATTTGCCAATAATTGTAATCGAGGTTCCCGTCCAATTTGGGACCCGACCATACAATATTGAAATTTGTGGCCATAATTCACTATGAAAAATACCTCGGGGTTGAAAGGTTGACTGGCTCTGATACCAAATGTTAGATATATTAAATATAATATATTTAATATAATGTATATTAAATATAATATAATATATCTATAATATATATTAAATATAATATAACAATATATTATATTTATATATTGAGAGAGAAGAGAGAGGAAGGAGAATTGAATTCACTTTGAATTGATGATTAAAATGGTAGAATACATAACCTATTTATAGTAATAGCTAATGAAATGAATTTCTAAAATTATGGTCATGTAACACCCCATGACTCCATGTACTACCTCACACTATGCCCATGTAATACCATGCTGCCATCACACACCTAAACTAATGCTAATCATGGCCACATATTACTTTAATTTCTAACAACTAATTACTAGCCACTTGGTTTAACAATTATAATAATAATATTATTATAACAAAATTTTTCTCCAATTCTTCAACTTTGCTTAACCAATCTTGAACTTGAGTTGTGGGCAACAGATGCTGCAGCTGCTCATCATCTAGCCCACTTCTCAAGCGAGACTTGAAAGCCAATACAAGTGTTATGTCTCTCTCAAGATGATTGTAATTTGAATGGATCTTAAAACGATTCTTCATTGCAGCATAGATGTATCCAAATAGAAATTTAAAAGGTTCTATTAGAGCTGAACCAATGATCGCCGCCACAGCTTCCATGGCAATGTATTGAGTACACAGGAATGAAGAAATTCAAGATTTTGTGAACAAAATTTAAGAGGTTTTCTTTCTTTCTTTGTTTCTTTTTAACTAATACTAATAAGAATGGGTGCCCGGGAAAGAACTAAGCATTTACGTGTCCAGATTAATGAATCAAATGTATTTTTTTTTTAAAAAAGCGGTGGAATTTTTATAAATAACTCGAACTTTGTTGCAACTAAAATGAGTTAAAAAGTGCAAATAACTGGTGCAAGTTTGCAAAAAAAATCATTTAAGAGTGCAACCATTTTCACTAAATAGTGCAAGTAATTTACCTTGTTAAAATTGGTACACCTAATGATAACATCTTTCACATTTGTGCACTTAATGATAACATTTGGTGCAATTAATGATAACATTAGGTGCTCTTAATATTGATGCTCAATATACATTGTTTGTTGCACTTTTAATATATATTTACTTACATTTTTAATAAATTTTATTTGCACTTAGGTGAACTATATTAAACTATTACTTGCACTTTTAACACGATTTATTTGTACTGCAATGTTCAATTATTTATGAAAATGTAACCGTGTTTTTTTTTTTTTTAAATTAGTGTTTCTGATCTGTTAGATCTTGACACGTGGACGGATGCGAGTTGTTCTTAGTTCTTTCCTGGACAACCCGTCTAAGTTATTACGTTAGACCTTGAGTTCAACGTAGATGAGTACTTCATTTTGTGATTTGCAAGCATCAAAAGTTTAATTAAAATTGTATCCAAAGAAAGGTGATGCTTGGTTTGCATTGATATAGGGATGAGTTTTTAGTTTTAACCAATCTTTTGAAAAAATGCATGATGCACTGGACTTTGTTCTTGTTTTTTACGTCTTATTTTAATATGCGTCCACTTTAAGAATTAATTTCTCATTCACTATAGTCGTCTATTTTGAACGTATAATATATCAATTTTTTCATCTCACTAGGAATAACACGAATCAACTTCAACCCAATTCAATTTAAATATAAATCCCACATATATTTATATCACGAAATTAAATATTAACTTAAAATTGTCATTTTACCTAAAAACTCCCAACATTTGAATCTCTGATCTAGTGGTTGACCTGATGTCATCCACATTTGTCCATTATGCTTGCATTTTCCATTTTCCTACGTGTATACAGCTGTGAGATAATTAAATTTAAAGTAGATGTATAGGAGCAAGAATATTAATTAATGTATAGATATATGATTCAATCCTTTTCATGGTTGCTTCCTCATCACCCTCGGCGGTAACGACTTTGTTAGCAACTACTTCGTGGTGTCCGTCAGCGCCCGATGAATTCAATTCTCCATCCCTAATTTCTCCTGGAATCTAATCTCCGAATATTGCAAGATCTTGATTGTAATATAATATATATATTTTTAATAATTTTTCTAGTTAATTTGAAAAAACTTAAGTGATAAGCGTAAATATACCAATTTGATTTGCCAAAGACCTTGTGGTCAAGCGGCATAAAGTGATTCTCCTAAGTGGGAGATTATGGGCTGGGCAAATCGGTTCGGGTGAACCGAACCGAGCCGGTTCGGTTCGGTTCGGTTTTTACCCGAAAGACCGATCGGTCCTAGTTTAGGTGAAACCGATCGGTTCGGTTTGGTTCGGTTAAAAACCGAACCGAACCACTAACCCGATCGGTTTTTTTTTTTTTTTTTGGGAAAAGGGTCAAATAGACCCTCAAACTATTGCTCAAAAGTCAATTAGGCCCTCCAACTTTTTTAAGAGGCAATTACACCCCTGAACAATGTATTTTGATGCAATGAAACCCAAATACAGGTAAATGACCTGCTATCCCAGGTCATTACAAATCCGGCGACATTCCGACATATTTTCAGGCAAAAAAGTGACCGGCGATGGTCGCCGGTCACGAAGCCCTCCCGGAGAAGGCCACCCGCCGGAGAAGGCCACCACAGTGGTGGCCTTCTCGCCGGAGAAGGCACCCAAATCTGGGTGCCTTCTCCGGCGACAAGGCCACCACACTGGTGGCCTTCTCCGGTCGAGAAGGCCAGCAGTGGTAGCCTTCTCCACCGGAGAAGGCAACCCAAATCTGGGTGCCTTCTCCGGCGAGAAGGCCACCAGTGTGGTGGCCTTCTCGCCGGAGAAGGCAACCCAAATCTGGGTTGCCTTCTCCGGTTGAGAAGGCCACCACAGTGGTGGCCTTCTCAACCGGAGAAGGCAACCCAGATTTGGGTTGCCTTCTCCGGGAGGGGTCTCCGTGACCGGCGACTGGTCGCCGGTCACTTTTTTTGCCTGAAAATATGCCGGAATGTCGCCGGATTTGTAATGACCTGGGATAGCAGGTCATTTACCTGCATTTGGGCTTCATTGCATCAAAATACATTGTTCAGGGGTGTAATTGCCTCTTAACAAAGTTGGAGGGAGGAATAGTTTGAGGGTCTATTTGACCCTTTTCCCTTTTTTTTTTTTTTTTTTTTTATATTAATAGATATATATTATATTAAATGTTTAAGGTGAAGTTTGAACCCTTATTCATTTGATTATAAACTAAGAGCTTTACCCACTAAGCTATACCCACATTCATGTCTATATTCACATTTGTATGCTAATAAGGGTATACATTTTTCATTAAATATTGCACACTTCAAATATAATGAATAAAATTATCCGTACTACATTCTTGTTAGACTAAAATATCATTATACCGTTATTACACCATTGCTATTTAATTCTAAAGTTTCATAATTCTATCATTATTATCACACACACACACACACACACACACACACACACACATACATACATATATATATATATATATATATATATATATATATATATATATATATATATATATATATATATATATATAATTAACTATGATACCTGTTTCCTATTCTTTAATTATCATTTTATTAAAATCATTATATAATTACTTTAATTGTTGATTATATTTTAATTAAATTTCTATGTATATAAATATTATAACAATTAATAATTTTAACTCCTCAAGTCCTCAAATCTCAACTCCAAGTTGTAAGTCCAAACATTTGGTGTTTTAGTAATTTTTATTTTTCAAATATTAACTATAGATGAATGATTTTTCATTTTGTCATCAACAAAATACTTCAAGTGGCACTTCAAGTGAGCCAACTGAACAACCGGTCAGGCAAAAAAAGAAACGTTCAAATAGTAGACTTTCACCTAAACCGAACCGAATACCGAATACCGAACCGAAACCGAACCGAACCGAACTTTTCAAACCGAAACCGAAACCGAACTCTATTTTAAACCGAATGGTTTAATTTTTTTAAAACCGAAAAACCGAAACCGAAACCGAAACCGAAAAAAACCGAACCGAAACCCGAAGTGCCCAGCCCTTTTATGGGTTTGAGCCTTCGTGGAAGCGATATTGACTCGTTGAGCTTGAGTGATTCTCCTAAGTGGGAGGTCATGACTCATGGGTTTGGTTAATAGTATTCAAAAAAATACAAATTTGATTTCTTCTTAGCTTCTTACCAAAGTCTTCGATTGTAGGTATAAGAAGAGATTATAATTTGAAATTTTTATTTTACCACTCTATTATTAAATTATTTTTTATTAGCTACGGACGGAATACTAATACCGGGGACCAAACTCGTCGCTTCGCTCATAACCGAGATACTAAACTCGGATACGATCAAAACTTAAGGATTGAGTCGGAACTTGGTTATAACTCAGGGATGTAATTTTTTCTTAAATTTAATACTGCATATTAGCAAGTGTATAGATATATTTAAATTCTTTTCTTGCTTGAGATAACTAATTAAGAAATCAACTAGCATACATTTCCTAGCTCTTTCGTGCAAAATTTTGATGTAATTGTAATAATTTTTTGTGATTAATGAAATATTTTGTGTGGGTTGCGTAGTGTTTTAACACCGTCAGTACTTATTAGAAATTCTTAGAATGATTATTGTTAAACTCAATTATGGGCTGAGTTGTAATGAAAATCAGTTCATGGATAAAAACAGTCTTATAATTTGGGTATAGGTTTTGACATATCAAAAAGGGAGAAATTGTTAGGAACATTTTGTATTTAGATTTTGATGATACTAAATGATTAGAAATTTTAGACCACAAACCCATTTTATTTTTCTAGACTTAGAGTTATTTTACTCAATCATCACCTAGTCCGAATAGTAACACGAGAAGTCAAAATTTGAATAATCAATCAATTCGAATGATAATTCGAAAGGTTACATTTTAGTTAGTCATAACCAATACTCGAAAATAAGAAGACTTCGAAGAGTTAAAGATCTGAAGACTGAAGACTTAAAGATTTGAATAGTAAAAGACTACAAGACCGAAAGGTTGTAAAGGCCGAATGGTGGAAGGGCCTACCTTTCGAAGTATAAGAATAACGAATGGTAAGGACACCCATTCGTAACCGAAAAGTTGCAAAGGTCAATATACGGAAGGACCTACCTTTCGAGGAGTAAGAAGGGACGAATGATAAAGTCAACCATTTGTATTCGAGAGGTTTTAGGATTTGAAACGTTACCCTAGTAAGTAAAAACTAAAAACATAAAAATAGACATTAGTTTATATACATATACACACTTCAGACTTCAGAGTAGTACATAGATTTGCTTTTTTTTTTTCTTTTTTTTTTCTTTTTTTGCCGTTTTAATACAACATCAATTAAAGCCATAAGGAAAATGAGATTGTATCCAATAAAAGGAGGGGCACTTTTTGTGAGACCATCTTAGAGATCCTTACCCATGGACGTGTCTCATGTCTGGTCAATATAAAAATTTAATATTAATTAGAAATAATGTGTTTTGATACTTATAAGAAAAAAAAAAATGTAATACTTTACATTTTTCATTAAAAATATTACATTTTCTCTTATCAGTAATTTACTTGAGTGGGATTTGAGCCCTAGTGGAGGCATTATTGACTCTTTCTCACAAGTAACAGTGTCAGTAGTACTAAAAAAAAAAAAAAAAAAAAAAAATTAACTGAGGCATGCAGAAGTTATTGCATAAAATCTTACTTGAGCCATGCTGAAGACATAATTTGAAGCATTTGCATCTTTAACTTCTTGCTAATCACGTG